CAAGAATCACACACAGCCACCCGCCCTAACAGGAATCACACACAAACCGCCCGCCCGCTGACAAAAATCACACACGAACCGCCCGCCCGCTGACAAGAATCACACACGAACCGCCTGCTTACTGACAATAATCACGTGAACTGTCCCGCACTGACAAGATCACACACGAGCCACCCGCCTTCTAACAGGAATCACACACAAACCGCCCCGCCCTCTGACAAAATCACACACGAACCGCCCGCCCGCTGACAAAAATCACACACAAACCGCTTGCCCGCTGACAGAATCACGCACAAACCGCCCGCCCGCTAACAAGAATCACGCACAAACCGCCCACCCGCTAACAAGAATCACGCACAAACCACCCGCCTACTAACAAGAATCACACACAAACCGCCCGCCCGCTAACAAGAATCACACACAAACCGCCACCAGCTGACAAAAATCACACACAAACCGCCCGCCCGCACACACGAACCGCCCGATGAATCACGCACAAACCGCTCGCCCGCTGACTGACGCGCTAACGGATTTTACGCGTTTGGATCCCTCCGACACAAGTGATTGTGCGTTTATCCCAAACAGATCAATAGCATACCATGTCATAATTTTACACCACCTTGTATGTGTATTAACGCATCATTCAGGATGCCTCGAGCTTAGCCAGATCAGATTAACTCAGCTCAGCTCAGCCTGATCAGCTCAGCATAGCTCAACCCGGCTCGGCTCAGCTCAGCTCAGCTCAGCTAATCATTGGCTAGATTGCTCCGTTTAGACAATCTGCAGATCTATGTGAGTCCAAACACACATGCATCATGTGCTAGCGCACAGTGGCATACTATCATTCGCTGTTCGGGCCCGCTTTATCAATGGAGGAAGTGCAGCACTTAACGCCTAGGGCGCCGATGAATCACATCCAATACATCACTCAACACCCAGGCGCACGCACTCCGGCTCTGAGGAAGTAGGAAAATGCCTGACAATGCTTGAATGATGCTGGTCTGGTGCAGTGATATGGCAGCAGGCGCGGACAGCGGTGATATGGCAGCAGGTGCAGACAGCGGTGATATGGCAACAGGTACTGTGATGTGGACGCACAGAACGGGGGGGTCTGCATTAGATGGACTCAAATCATGATGTACGTTCCAAGCGTCATTTGTGCCGGGTTATTGCACTTTTGTGAGATTTGACATTTTCGACGAAAAAAAACCCTATACAGCGCGCCACAGGTATGCAATTTCTCGAATGGTCTATACCGACGCAACGTGTTTTCGATCTATTCATTTGATGTTTCTACCTCGATGTTTTAATTGCCGACAGTTATTCCCATGCATATGAATGCGTGCAAAACAAACTGACTATGGAAGGTGCCTCCTCCCCTTGAATACGCACCGGTGTGTTATTAGCTGCGCTGATCAACACCACACAGGCTGAGGAGCGATTGATGTGATCCAAGGACAGAATGACCACACCAAGTCGGTGTTAAATTTCATCCAGAACATCCGTTTTAAACGCTTATAAAAATGCTTTGATACGCCACGACCAATTAACTCGTTCAGAGTACCAGGAGGTGCAGATAACAGAAAATGTATACAAATGATGTCAGTGTAAATATCTCACATTCCGAGCGAAGATTATTATAGAGCCCTGGCCCCAAAACTCTCGATGATTGTCATTGATCAAAAGGCCAGCTCTTTTTAAGATAACGATTTTGTGCTACCCCCTCTGTTAACCAGTCCCTTCTGTCCCACGATACTGGAGGGCGCTATTGCCAGTGGGCATCTAG